GCTTCCTAATTCGGGATTCACCTGTCCGAGCCGGAGCTTCTCTCCGCGGTATCCAGCCTGCCAGGGATCAGAGTGGCGAGAAAGACGATTCCGGAAGCAGGTGAAGGTGCAAAGAAACTCATTATATCAGGGTGAAAAGTAATGATGAGAACTTTTCCAGGATTAAAAATATCCCTCAGCACGGATTACACAAATACTGTATGTGTCGCTGATTCTCCGACTGTGGGCCATATGAGACGATACTGCCGGTGCATTGGATCTGATGACTCCTAAGTGTCCTGGTTTGTCTATAATGTAAACACTGACACAGACGCATCTGTCTACATCTTACATACGCTCTCAATTACACTTGTGTAAGATTTTAGGGAATCAATATTCCTAATGTCGGTTTTTATATTTTGTATTCAGACTGCATTTTTGTCTCTTATTGTCTGACTAGTTGCGCATTTTTAAAACCAAAGGTGTCTTGAGCTATACCAGATTATTTAAAAATTAATGAAATTTCAGCAATAATGTTAAAATGACCTATCAGGGTTAAAATATTGGTCCAAATTTGCACCACATGCATAGAGATCACTAAAAACATTGATGTAATGCCATAAGAGATTTCAAGCTAGACTAGAAAGCCAACAATGAGATATTCATTGTGTATCACAGACAACCGCATGGGACCCCTGTGTTTATAATGTTGCATCTGTCTGAGAGACAGAGACACATCACAGATATTGATCTTTTCCTGATACAGTAAAGAGGATGAATTTAGATTCATTAGGACATATTTTCACCCAGGGCCCACGTGAAAGTGTATAGGAACACCTAGAACACAAAATCCAAATCACTTGGTTTTTTTACAGAAGAATTTTTAACTTCTTAATTGATATTAAACAAAAAAACTTTTTGTCGCTTAAAAGTTTTCTTCTGTTCCAGAGTTTTTGTGGTTTGGGGTTAAGGATCATATACAGAATAAAATAGCGATGAGACGTCCCTAGTGTGTGTGTGTGTGTGTGTGTGTGTGTGTGTGTGTGTGTGTGTGTGTGTGTGTGTGTGTGTGTATGGAGTCCAGGCTGCCGGCTCCCACACTTCCACCTACATGTGTTTCGCATTTGGCCAGATGTTTAGAGGCTGCTTTCCCTGGCGTAATGACTATGTCACAGTAATGTTAAACACATGTGGTGGAAACTGGAGCCCGTCGCTCACAGTAAGCAGGGCAGCCTTTACCGCTATTTGGAGGTATAAACAGAAGGAAACCATAGCAATCTGTCCGCACTTGAACCCGGGCGTTTTTAGTTTCTGCCCTTCTGAAATTAGCTTTGGATCCGAAGTTGTTTCCGGAAGATAACATCTACCATTTTGAAAATAATATTGCACCATTTTGCCACAGCAGAGATCATCGAATCCGGAGCATCACCAGTAGAAGCCCAGTTGTTACCCACCCCTTAAACAAAATAAAGCCAAATGTTGTGGTGCACTTATCTCATTTTCCCTTCGCTATTCCCAGGTGCAGATGCAGGATCCGAAGCTTTACTGTACTTAAAAGTTTCAAGATTATCTCATTTAAGGTAACTGCCTCTGACAACCACCGCCACTGAATCGAAACAGCAGATATAAACCAGACCAGAAATCCAGGGCACCCCGATAGCTGGGTCCCTAATCTGCCCCAGTGCATAGCTGCACAGTGAACGGCATGATGATGTCGCAGTAACCACAAGCACAAGGACACCGACGAGGAGGTTGGCTCAGTCAGCTGTGTGTCCAGGTGTTGGCCTGCTACCCACCAGCTGACCCCCATGGCCACAGGCCTAACCCCCCCTCCCCCCTGTAGGTCACCATCTGCTCCGTGCCGTGTTCAGAAGGCGGCCAGTTTCGTCCGTAAGCAGCTGCCCTCGCAATCCCATAATTCAATCACCCGTGCTTGACCGCCGCTCTTCCTGCGGTGGGTCAGGATGCTGGGATCTCTTACCGGACTGGCTGAACCCTCAGCCACAACCTGAACACTGACAGCCTCAACACTGATTACCTCACACGCATGTCCTGTACCAGACTATGTCAAATTGTATTGTCCCCTATGCCTGCATATTTCTGCATTTGCCTTGAAAATCTTTTCCACTGCACTGTCCCTAATATTTTTAAACTAGTATTTATACTTCCTCAAACCAATGAAATCAAGGTTGATTTTTTTACATTTTTTGATTATCATTGAAGCGCTGGCAAAACATTATTAACGGCCATAATGTACTCTTAATAAACAATTCTTTTTGCACTAAAACCTGGCACATAAAACTGACCAGTTAACTAGTCTTTTATTCACTTTGAGAGATTTGCATTACATTTACATGATACGTAGTTATTGTTGCAATAGTATTTATTGTAAGCATCTCAATTTGCATTTGTGAGCTGTTTTTTAATTTACTTTGTGTTTATCGGGGACAGAAGAGCATGCAGAGTAAATTTTTCATGGTTACCAGAGTTACCATAAACTCTATAGTATTTAAGTATTCCGCATCGTGCAGCACTGTGAACGTGTCCTGCAGGTCTCATCGGAAAGGTTCATTAGTAGGGCTCACTCTCTATGCCGGGCACAATAGCACAGCATCCCGCCACTGGGATCCATCAGCTCTGGCACCGCGTCTCCGTCTCAAGCCTCCGGTCTCCCTGCGAGTGTTTAAACACCGCGCTAGTCCCATCCACGGCAAGGCGTACTGAATAAACACACGCCTTGAATAATAGATGGACTCCATGGGCACTTAAAGATAACGGAATACCAGTCCAAAGATACCAGTCTTTGGCCGTAATGCACTGTGCCGATGAGCTACCTTGTATCCATTTTGCTTTTATCATCTTGTTTATAATTAATCGGTTTTGATTTTCTTTTTTAACTAAGGCCAGTTAAACAAATAATTCAAGTCTAATCGCCAAAATAGTCTATATTTGATGTTTATTTTATTTTCTCCGCATCCCATGAAATGTGCTGTAAACAGTAATGGAAGAATGGAAGAAGGCAGGTGAATCTGCTTTCTCAGTCAGTTTTTTTTTTTTTACAAAAGCCCTGCAAACGCTTTGACCCTCCTGACCCCCCTGGCATGTACACGGACCACAGCCCGCAGTAAAATCAAGGTGAGCTATTTCACGAATTGAATTTCTGGCACAGCTAACTCAATGAGGAGTTTGATTATCGCGGAAAACCGGCTCTGAGAAGTTTACTGGCAGCTGTTCTTCACCTGTCAAGCGATGAGCTTCATTTGGCTTTACGATAACTCGAATCCGGACACCACAGATCCTAAGGCTCACAACCATTGTATCATTGCATTTGCTTCACATTGCATTGCTCGCTGTTTCACTTGATGCTATATAAAACACGTGCAATCCGACGGAATTATTTTTTCCTATTATATTGCAGTTTCTTGTGTTGAGCCAATTGTTTTATTTATTTATTTGTTTGTTTGGGGAACACTTCCAATTCTACGAATATCATATAATAAATCTAGCATCCAGTCCAATCGGCTCATATTTGAAATGCGGAGTATGTTTGTTAATTTGTTTGAGTAACCAAATTCGAAACGATCGAGCAGATGGGAAAACCAAACCCCATAAAACCTCAGCTGTTGACTTCCTTTCTTTATAGTATTGAAAACGAAAAGATGCTAAATAAACGCGTTATGTGTTGTCAGTGACGAGAAATTGAAAGCAGACAAATCGGTTGAACAAAAATAGGAAGGCAAACAAGGCAGGTTTATCAGAACAGGGCGAAAAAGAAGGACACTGAAAGTCTAGCGATGCATTGAGACCGCATGACGGTGTAAGTATAGCGGCTGAGGCGCGGATGATGAGCTTTGGAAGCAGACTGAGATAATGGGGTTTGAACCTGCACAACCGTTGCCAACGTGAATTTTACTCCGTAAGTGAGTGACGTACGGGAATCATGACTGAATTACTGCTATGACTCTTTGATTTTCATCAAATCGTTAAACTAGAATATAGAAAAAAAAAAATAAGTACTACATTACTGATGATGCAGTATCATTGGGCGTAGATTATTTACATTAATTAGCCGTTTTTAGTACAGTAGGCCTACATTCAACCTTGACTGTTACTATAATGAAACTTTTTACATCTTAGATATACTATATTTGGTCTACATTTACTAACAAGGCTTCCCCACCACTGGTGCGACACGGATATCATCAACACAGAGTCGGGCTGCATCAGTGTAACTTGAACATTCCTTGAAGATAAACTAAATAATAAATCCATCTTTAAGCAAAAGACAGAACATCAGTATAAATAGACAGCTTACCTTACAGAATACCGAATCATTAAATGTAACTAAAGTTCATCTAAAAGAAGGTAAGAGTGATGGCGTTACATCAGGACACCATCAGCATTGGCTCCTCGACATTGCTGCAACAAATATTAAAAAGAAAGCCTTCCTGCTGATCTTTACTTGTTTTAAGTGGTCTGTTCGTTTGATTGTGAAAAGCACCGCCTCGTAATTTATATTTTGCCATCGGCTGCAAGCCCTTGAACTGAATTAATTTAAATGTAGGCTATTGTACCTACAAACGAAGACGAAATAGCTGTATTTACATCTCAGTTTAAATGGTCTTATATATGTCTCGCAATCCTTTCAATATATGAATCACAAAGTGGATGCTATATAAAACAATACTAAATTATTATTGTTATTATTAAAATTATTATTAAAAGTATTAAAATATTATTATTATTATTATTATTGTTATTGTTATTATACGTTTTGTTATGAGCCCGAATCGCCTTATATGAAAAAATACTCTAGCAAGTTTAGGAATTAAACAGCTAATATGAATTACTATAACTAACTCAAAAATAATTTCGAGTGCAATATAGTTTAAGTATGTACGTAATTGTTGAGCAAGATATCAATAAGTTCACTCTCACAGTGCACCACCCACGCCATGAATTCAGTCGCATGCTACTTGTGAGTTAATAGATACTACTGATGATCCAATTGATGCACTTACTCTGAAGGTCGAGGTCAATCCGAGGTAATTGATGTAAAGATATTCCACATGAAACTGGCGAAAAAGGAGTGCAACGTGACAATCTTCTGTATTTCTAAAAATAATGGATTAATGGACGAAGTTCATATTTACAAGACACGATTCATCAGTATTATTCTGTTGATCAGAGGGGAAACTTATTGTAGAAAAACTCCATCAATCTAGATTATTAAAAAACGGGGGAAAAAAAGATTCCTTTGGAATTGAAGCGCTGATATTTTCTCAGTTAAACAAACGTTGAGGTATTAATTTCCCGAAGAGTATGTCCTTTGCATGCAACGTGCCTTTGGCTTTCAGTCCTTTTATATAGGCTATATATATATATATTTAAAAATGACAGCCGATGAAGAGTTTCAGCACTCTGCCAATTTATTTTCACTTAATACCTGGTCAGCATTCTGCCAATTTATTTTCATTTAATACCTGGTAATTTGAGCGCGGCCTTAATTCTTAATTTTCCGTACACATCTAAAAGCCCTGAACGGAAGGAAACCACGCGATTCGGAAGAGTTAATAATTGCTTTTGTGGTTATAAACAGAAAACGGGTACACTCGAGGAGTTCACCCCTGAAAAGTTGCAGATGCCGACTTCATACATGAAAACAGGGCTACGAGCCAAAAAACGATGCCAGTTGTACTTCCAAGGTACAAAGACGCAGTTGCTGTTGGCACGGATCCTCTGCGTCCCGATGTAAAATCCTCACTGTTTGAGGACCGGTATTGTCGATCCAGTCATTTAGTGAAAACCATCCGTGTCTGTACATCCACAAAAATACGCTTCTTTTTCTTAAAGCGTAATTTTAATGTTGCAGCTCGTTGCTTCGGCCAGGTCAGCAAACGGAACTTCGAACCCAACCTTTTGCTGACCAAAACTGTTTAATTGTCCAGCGCTACATGCGCCGTTCACTCCAGTGTAACCGTGGTATTCTCGTACTGTAAACGGGATTCCTGCATGTAAATAGTATTAAACAGCCATTTTAAATAGGCGATAAGAACCCGATCGGTCACGCTTTGTCTCCGCTCTTCTCATTTAGTGCTTGCTTTATTTGTAAGTAGTCGGTCGATGGCTTGGCGCTTGTGCCTCGCATGCAGTCTAGCCGTCTCTCCTCTATCTGCAAGCCCTGTGTCTGACTTTAAATCGCCATCTGGAGATAGCTACTCCAGGGCTTCCGCCCTCCCCCTTTCTTTCTCTCTTTTTGACAGCTTCACGGAGCCACGAGTTGACAGCCCGTCTTGCTGCCCGATTACGCTATCTCTGGATACGGGCTCGCCTCGGTCTAACTCCGCCTCTAAAGACTTCCACCGCCTCATTAAAAATCTGGCCAGTTCGTATTTGTTGCATTGTTGTTCTGCTTTTTAAAAATTAATTTATTTTAGGAAGAATGGAGTTTATTTGTTATTAGTTTTAAATTAAAAAATAATCTTGATAACAGTTAATGTATCGGACTGATAATGCTTCACTGCACACAGATAATAGATTCCCGTATACATCGAGATAAGATGCGCTGACTTCACAGTTTCCTTTTACCGATTTTTAAAAAATAATAATTTTACGCTCATTTAGACTAAAAGTAAGACTTTTTTTTTTACTTTGTACAGTGATCTGGCTGCCAAAGGTTAAGTAAGAAGCGCATAAATATGATTATGCACTCGGACTCACCTCGGGGCTTTTGTGTTTCTGATCTTTTTCGCGTGTACCCCTAGGGGCCGCTGTTTCCTCATATCAATAAATAAGGAATGTTGCGACCAAACCAGTGGCATGGAAAGTTTATTACGCCTATATGCGTCACATATATTAATTAATCACGTGACAACTGGCTGTCTTTTTCGTGCCCCAAGACCGGGGACAATGGAATTTTGGAGGCAGGGATGAAAATAAACATAGGCTTAGAAATATCTCTTAAATCTGCATCCTCATAATAAAGTAATTATATGTTTGGTTAATTGAATATAGGCCTATGCATTCATCCATATTTTATATAACTGTTTATCCTGGACATCAGCATATTCCAGGTAGCATGGGGCACACAGCTTGAGTACACAATTGGTAAGGATGGCAATGCATCACAGGGTACACAAACACTCATACACTGTGGAGAAATTTACTGTAGAGGCTACAATTAGCCCAACCCTGTGTCTTTGAACTGTGGAAGGAAACTAGAGTACCAGGAGGAAAAAAAGTCCAACACTAGGTAAACATACAAAATCCACACAGAAAACAGAGGCAGGATTGAAACCCCCATCCGTCCGTCCATCCAGCCATCCATCCACCAATCTTCAAATCGCCTGTGTTGGTCAGGGTCATAATGTGGGGGGAGGGGAGATTGCACCTATTACATTTTAATACCCCGAAGTACTTAATTAATATCCTGGCCATGTCCTTGTCTCTTATTATGTTTGCTTTTAATGTTTTGACTGCCTGGCATTTCCTGTAATTTGTGTAAAAATCAGAAAACCAAAGTCAATCAATAAAACAGTTCTCAAAAGGACACATTGTATCTTTTCCATTCCATCTAAAGAAACATTAAATTGGTTTGTAAAATTAAACAATTTAATTCCAGAATGTTCAAAGAACTTTTTAATTTATCAGCTTTACTGGCATGAATAATTGCAAATTAAAACATGTAAGTCTAATCTCTGAATGAAGTACATATAGTTTTAAAGAGTACTTCTGTGAACTAAGATAATACTTTCTTGTTGTTGGTACATGTATATGAACTAAATAAGTGGAATTGATAATTTAGTGTTTCACCCACAAGTCAGTACATTTTTAAGCAATGTTAATAAAATACTGCATGATTAACAGACCATGGAATCAACACACCACAGAGTAAATGTGTAGTTGTAATCTAGTACTGTAATGCCCTCCTTTCTGGTTTCCTGTCCAGATTCTTACATAAGCTTTAGCTAGTACAAAATGCAGCAGCCAGAGTTCATACAAACATTAAAAAATCTGATCATATTAACCCTGTTCTATTCTTCCTTTACTGGCTTCCAATTAAGTCTCGGATTGACTACAAAATACTGCTATTAATTTATAAGAACATAAGAAATTTACAAACGAGAGGGGGCCATTCGGCCCATCAAGCTCGTTTGGGGAGAACTTAACTAATAGCTCAGAGTTGTTAAAATCTTATCTAGCTCTGATTTAAAGGAACCCAGGGGTTTAGCTTCCACTACACTAGCAGGAAGACTATTCCATAATCTAACTACATGCTGTGTAAAGAAGTGCTTCCTCAAATTTGTTTTAAAATGTTCTCCCGCTAATTTCCACTTATGGCCACGAGTTCTAGTATTTAAACTAATATTCAAATAGTCATTTGGCTGAACAGCACCCAGACCCGTTTGTCAGGGTCAGCCCCTGTTGTGGTCTTTCTGTTTCCCTTCCCGTTTGGCCAGCAGGTGTTGCTGGTCATCCCGTTCTTTATGTTAGTCTTTGTTCTCCCCTGTTACCTGTCCGGTCATGGGGCTCAATGTGTTGAGCAAGTGGTTGTCTGTGTACCCTTCTGTTCTATGTTCAAATCCTGCTGCCTCTGTTTTTGTATTTTTGATCCCTAGTGTTTCATTTGAGTTTCTCTAGTTCTTGTGTTTGACTTTGTAGTTGGTTTTTGTTTTGTTCCTTGTGGCCCTGCTTGTCTTTACCTGTTTGTAATTCCCTAGTGTTGGTTCCTTATTCCTTGGTTAGTTCTTAGTTTCCCTGTTTTTAGTTCCTTGAGTTTAGTAGTTACACCTGTGCCCCGTTTCCCTGGTCTTTGTTAATTAGCCTCACCTGTCCTGTGTTAGTCTCGTTACCCCTTAGTATTTAAGTCCCTGTATCTGTTCTGTTCACTAGTGGTTCGTTGCTTGTGTTTGATGGTTGTTATGTCAGATGTTCTCAGTATTAGATGTGTATTTAGGTTTTGTTATTTAGTCTTTGTTAATCCCCTTTTAGTTTTTGACCCCTCGTCGTCTTTTTGATTTTGTAGTGTTTGTAGTGTTTTCTGTTTTGTTTAATAAACCCCGTTTTTTTGTTCTTTGAGCCGCCAGTGGGTCGTCCACCTTTTTTCTGTGTACATTATGCCACGTTCTCGTGTCCGAGCCGCCTGGGTCCAAGACACCATTAGAATCTTATAGACCTGGATCATGTCCCCCCTTAGTCTCCTTTGCTGAAGGCTAAACAGATTCAGCTCAGCTAACCTCTCCTCATAAGACATTCCTCTAAGACCAGCAATCATTCTCGTAGCCCTCCGTTGCACCTTTTCTAAGGCAGCAATGTCCTTCTTAAGGTATGGTGACCAAACCTGCACACAGTATTCTAGGTGGGGTCTTACCAAGGAATTATATAAATGTGACATCACCTCCCTTGACTTAAACTCCACACACCTAGAGATATAAGCCAACATTCTATTGGCCTTTTTTATTGCTTCCCCACACTGGCGAGAGTGGGACATGGAAGCATCAACATACACACCGAGATCTTTCTCGCACTCAGCTACCCTTATTTCAGTGGAACCCATAAAATATCTGTACTTTATATTGTTGCTCCCTGCATGGATTACCTTATATTTATCTGTGTTAAATATCATCTGCCAAGTATCAGCCCATTCGCTAATTAAATCCAGATCCCGTTGTAGCCTCTCTGCTGCTAGATCAGTATCTGCTACACCACCCAGTGAATGGCCTTGCAGTAGAATACTTAGAGATCTACTGGGCTCATACAACCCTCCTCAATTGCTTCGATCTCAAGGAGCAGGATATCTATTGGTACCCATTGGTACTCAGCTGTGGAATAGTCTTCCATTGGATGTGCAAGATTGAGGCTCACTCTCAATATTCAAGGGTAGAATAAAAACACACTTGTTTAGTCTAGCTTATAGGGACTCTAGTTCTAGCTCTAGGTAACTGCTTACTCCCAGTTAGACCTATAGTGTGAGGTGTAGAGCTGGGTGGGGATCGGTATCATTGGCTTTGGATAAACTGAATTGACAGTGCTGTCACTCTAGCTTCACACCCCCTTGTGGAATTGGAGTGCTGACGTTTCAGGGACTCCCCATGCCTGCGTTCCTACTTGCCTCTCCCTCCTACTTATGCTGCATTAGCCTTATCTGTCGGAGCTTACATACTGCACTCACCTACCTGTTTGCACTGCCTCTGGTGTCTCCTACTTTGGCTAATGGCACATTTTATTTCCCCTACCCCTCCAGCCAGGAGACCCCAAAATATCAAGATATTCTGCCTACCCTCTTGCCTGCAACGCCTCGAATACCTGTGGCATCTATTCGGCCTGCTCACCCTTCTGCCTGTGACGTCTTCCCTGCCTGCCCTGCTGCAGTACCACTGTTCATCCTGCCATCTGAAGCAGTATCAGCACCTGCCTGCCATCACCTGCCTATCTCCCACTTTGAGACTCAAATGTTAAAATTGGGATAGTGTGAAATGGACTTTGCCATCTTGCTCATTTGACTTCCTCTGCCAGCCCCTGGAGGATGGGTCCCCCTTTGAGTCTGATTCCCCCCAAAGTTTCTTCCTTCTAGGCAGTTTTTCCTTGCCACTGTTGCCTCTGACTTGCTCACTGGGGGCTTTGGGCAGGGATGCTGTAAAGCACTTTGAGACAATGTAATGTGGAAAACAGGCTATACAAATAAAATTGAATTAAATTGAACTTAATTGAATTGAATTTTATTGAATAGATCCTGTAGGGTTAACAAACTATACGATTTACATACTGTAGAGTTAACATACCATTCTGTACATTCGTGAGTTTAATGTTTTAATGTGTTAAATCCCTTTTGCTAATGCTGTGGTCCTCATTTATTATTCATAGGTAAGAAATAATGCTGTCAAGATTGCATCTGTGATAAAATAACGATGCAGTGACCCCTTTTACCCCCATTAACAATCAGCACTCTCTTCTCCAGGTAGGATTCTTAGTGCATTCTAAGTGCCCTTGGGCACATAATAGCTTTAGAAAGTCTATTCCAAACATCAATGAGTCACATACAAATATTAAAATAGTAGCCAACTTTACTGAATTCAGCTGACCATTAAAGGGAATTGCAGTAATTTCTACGTCCATTTTGCCTGTCAGCCAATGCTGGTTAAAACCCATTCGCTCATACTGTGTATCCTCTCGACTGGAGTCTAATTGCTCAATTTGTCCATCAGCACTTTATCATGGAAGGATCAAGGAACAACATTGGTTTGCGGCTACAGCGCAGATTAATTACGGAGTGACTCTAAGATTCACGGAGCACCAGT